AAGTTCAATGAGTTACTCTTGGTGTTAAGAGCAACAAGAAGTATAAAACTCCAAAATTGTTAGAAAAATACTTTAAATTTCAATAATTATACCGTTAAAATTTGAGAAATTTTAGGTAATATTATTTAGGATATTCCTTACTAATATTCATCTTATTAGATACTCATTTAACTAAATTTTAAGTACTTTACCTCTAACTAAACTTCCCATTTTACTTTTCTTACTTTCGTCTCCGCCTCTACTTTAATAAATAAAAAAATATTTTTTTATTTACAATTTTATTTTCCTCTCCCTTCTTCCATCAAAATCCCGCTTCTTCTACCATTTTTACCCAATCAAAGTGTTGGCAGACGCACGTCCAACATAGCAACGGTGTAACCAGTTATTTCGAGGGTTGTTGGAAGGCTGGCAACAAAAAGAGATATGAGGGGGGAGGGAGAGAATGTGAATAATAAAATAAAAGGAGAGAAGTATGAATGACGATGACAAAATTACTGTAAATGCTGTGAGGGGAACGGAAAAAGTGTTGGAAATTTTTTTAAATTAAAAAAAGTTTTTGTGGAGGCGTTAAAAAATTAAGGATTTATTTACTACCTATATTTATTTTGTTTTTTTCGAAGACTTTATTTAGGAAGTGGAACAAAAAAAAGTTTTCCAAATCAAGTCAATTTCTCTTTCCATCAAAATTATTTAAATTGTAATTGATGAGGAGATTTTAGTGGATGAGGAGAGTTTTGGACGAGGAGAGGTTATTTTGTGTTTGTGTCTTTTTAATTTAATTTTAAATCCTCTCTTCTTCACTCATTCAAAATATTTTTATTTTTTCAAAATTTGATGAGGAGATTACCTCTCATTCCCTCATTTACTAACCGAAAATACGTTGTATTAAATATAGCTAAAATATAGTCAAAACACACCTAAAATGTTGTAGTATTATACCAAATCCCCCCCCCCCTTCCCTCAGCTCAACATTAATTAAGTGATTATTTATTTGGAAATGAAGAGTCGTGGAATAAGTCCCATTTTTTCTATAAAATTTTTTGTTTCGAATATTTTCTAAAATTTGTACAACTTCTAAATCCTTGGCTTTTTACAACCTTCATATTTATGGGTAATTCTGTTTTAGCGGCAATTCTTTTTTTTTCAACCATTTCAACAGTTTTTCTTTAAAATGCGCGAAAAATTGGGAAAAGCTGTAAATACTAGGAAATAGAAATTGTTTGAAGAAACAGCTGCCAAACCGGTAGTTGTAAAAAAGAACGGCAATTAGTTGTTGTTAGCCTTTTAATCTTGCCGTTCTTTTTTAGGTAAAATATTTGTTTAGTTTGTTTTGTTTGATTTTTCAACCCTAAAACCATTTAAGACTGTTCCTGAGGGTCATTTCCCTCAATTTAAAAATAAAAGATTATTTGCCGCATGTCAAAAAGAATTTTTTAAATAAATAATTCTCCCCTTAATTGGTATACACGAGAAATATTGTTAAAATTAATTTCCACATGCCTATATAATTAATCAAATAATCTTTCACTGTGGCTGATAATTTGATACAAATAATAAAAGAAGAGGTCAATTCTCAAGTTGAGTAGATTCTCACATACATTTTTTTAATAAGGGATTTGAACGTTTACAGGGAGATGGAGGTGTTCTCTCTCAGAATTTCAATTCCGTAACTCCTTGAATTTGTTCATATTTAAAATTTATTGTAATTTTTTTAAATTAATGATATGTATAGTATGTTTTTCACAAAAATAGTTTTATCTTTGTTAAATTTATTGTTAATCTTCATTTATTTTATTATTCTTCTTTTTTATCCAATCGATCATCTCGATCCTCCCGGCATTATTCCTTCCATTAATTCTCTCCTACTTTTTTTGCCACGACCCTTTACCCCAAATTGGCATGGACAACGCCAAACTGCGCAGGACGCTTACAAGGAAACGGACTGCTGCTGGGCCTTTTTGACAAAAATGGACAGTGAATGGATGTTGGGGGTTATAATGGGCGGAGAAATAAATAAATATACAAGCCATCGACAAAAAAATGGAAGGGAAGGATGAGAGCTTTTTAGGGTTTTAGTTTTAGTAGAAAGGATAGATGAAGACACACACAACCATTGAATGAATGAATATATTTTCGTTGATATATTATTTTGCGTGCGCGGACTGTCGTCCCGTCCATAACCTCATCAACATATCAAACTATATATGGGGGACTGTTTTAGAGCTGTGAATGAGGAAAAGAATTTTTGGACAAGAAATGAATAAAACTGACAACGGGATGGAGAGAGGGAAACATTTACTCCCCCCATTCATTTACAACCCTCATTCAATTCCTCGGAAGAAGCTTCTTCTTCCATTCATTCATTATTCCCTTTTTTCTGACCAAATTTTGTATATTCTTCGATTTTTTATTGTAATTTTGCCTATTTTTTGTCTGCGTATTCAATTATAGAAATTTAATTGTTTAAGTTTGGCAAAACTTTATTTATAATGTTCAAAAAAATTTTTTTAATTTCATTATAGTATTTGAGATTGTATAACTTATATTTTTGTTTAATTTTTATATTTTCTGATACAATACTAAGTAAAGAAAATTCAAAATTTTAACTTATAACCAACCATCTTTAGTGAAAAAATTTAACTTAAAGCCTTTTTTTCGAGAATGAATTCTTCGAGATAAAAGAAGCCTAAATGTTCGCGTGGCCTATCAGAACATCAAAAATCCAAATTTGCATACATTTATTTATTTTTTCAAATTTTCTTAATTTTTAATTATTTCAGTATTGCCTAAATGCAACAACAACAACAACCAAATGGAACTTCAATACCCAACAACTTTCAACAAGCAATTAATTCCATTACCTACCCCCAATTACAACAACAACAACCATTATATTTCGAAACAACAAATTCAACAACAAATAATTCTGAAAATTTTTATTCAATGCAACTTCAACCTTATCAAACACAACAAATCCAAACTGGAGAGTTACTCGAAACAAAACAACAAAAAAGTTCTTCTGAACAATTTAATGTAAATAATGAAAATATAATTAAAGTAAGAGATTAAAACAAGTTTTAAATAAATTATAGAGTAGTTAAAACATCATAATTTTAAATAAACATTGTTTGTAAAAACCAGAACTTTAAATAAACATAAGAGGGAAAATCAGAATTTTAAATAAACATAAAGGGGAAATCAGAATTTTAGATAAACACTGTTTGTCAAAACCAGAACTTTAAATAAACATGAGAGGAAAAATCAGAAATTTTAAATAAACATTGTTTTTAGAAACCAGAACTTTAAATAAACATAAGAGAGAAGATCAGAATTTTAAATAAAAGCTTAGATAAAGATCAGAATTTATAATGAACTAAGATTTTGTTTTAAGTGATTGTTTGGGGATTAGAAATATAATTCATTATTTTCTTTAGAAAATTCCTTTATTTAAAAATTTTTGTTTTTATTATTTTCTTAAAGATTTTTAGAAAAAGAAAAAAATAATAATTTTCTTTAAAAAATTTTTTTAAGAAACTTCCGTTTTCATTTTTCCAAATTAATAATTAAAAAATATTTTTGGCGGGCTAAAAAATTTACTTTTCTTTTTTTTTGGATTAACTTGACCTTGGACAGTTATTTATAAGAAAATGTTTTAGGAAGAAAATTAAAAAAGGGAAGCTATCTAGAATTTTATTGAGTGCGAATTTGAAGGGAGAAATTAATATTATTAACTAGAAGAGTGTGAAAATATTTTTTGTCCTTCAAATTTTAACTGGTAAAAGTATGAAACGGGTAATTATTATTTACTTTTTAAGGATTTATTTTTGATTGTTTTTGGGAATTTATTTTTCTCCAAAATATAATTTAAATTTATTATTTTGTCCTCTTTTTAAGTTTAAAAAATCAGAATTTTAATTAAACATTTTTAGTAAAAATCAGAATTTTACTTTATAAACAAATATTTATTTTATTTTAATTTGAAACGATCCTTTCTCTTTTGGAAAATCTTAAAATATATCCAAAACTTGAAATAATTCGAGATTATAATCTTTAATATTTACTTAAACTGTATTCTCAATAATAAAAATCAAAAGACAAAAGAAAAACAGAATTAGGCACTTTTTGTTTACAAGGACTTAAATATTTGAACCAAAGATTGGGAAGAGAGAGGGGGGGGGGGGGGAAGTTGTAAGAGAGAGATTTTATCGTAAAAATATATTTATTTATTTTGGACAATTAATTTATATATTCCAAAAATTTTATTATTTTTTTAATAAAGAAAAAAGGCCCTGGACCAGGAAGACCACCAAAAATAAAAATTGACAACAATAAAAGGGAGGATGTTGCTGGTTGCAGTAATAATATGTATGAATATAATACGAGTATTCTAAAACCTGATCAAATGCAAATGCTTTCACTTGACGCTAAATCTGCAAATAATATTAGTATGGTTGGAGGAAATACTACACAAGTAATTATAAAGAACTATCAGAATATCAGAATTTAGAATAAACTTTAAGAAAAAACAGAATTTAAAACGAACATGTTTCTAGAACTTAATTATTAGTTGTAAAAAATCAGAATTCTTAATGAACATTTTGCTTGCGATCATAATAATAAAAACTTGAAATTTCAGAAATTTAAATAAAAATTTCTGAAAAAATCAGAATATTTAATATTATTTTTACTTTCTAACAGCCAAACCTCTCAAGTGTTCAATTTCCTTATGGAGACCCTACTGCATGTTTTGGGGTTCCGCCATCTTTTGATATTTCAACAATGCCTCCTGACTACAATAATTTAGGTGTAACATGGGCTGGTCATCCATCTAGGTATTTTTAACAGAAAAATATTTTTCTAATTTTTAAATTTTTAGTTATAATCTTACATCAGCCCCAACTCCAGCAATTTGTGGAGGTTTTGGGGACATAGACGGGTTATATGGAAATACTAGTGGTCTAATAGCTTTGCCTGGACAACTTCAATATGAATTAGATCCCATGTTGGCTAATGGTTATGGTGTTTGGCCAACTGCGAATGGATATTATTTGGTAGAGAATATTAATATTTTTTGGATATTTTTTATTTTAAAGGGAAATGATCCTGGAAAATTATTAACAACAACTGATGGATCATTACAAGCAACTCAACCCCCTCCTCAACAATATTTAGGTGCTGCAAGTACAAGCAACAACTATACAGGAGGAGACAATGTTCAATCAACTGCAACAACTTTCTATGGTGCGGCTCCTCCATTGCAGGTAGTTTTGTTAAAGGGAAATTTTCAGAATTTTTAATTCTGAAAAATTAAAACTTTAATAAATAAATAAAACAAATTCTGAAATTTATAAAACATTAAAATGTTTGGTAAGCATCAGAGGTGGGTCAGAATTCCGATTTCCATTTCCGGCGTTTTTTCCTTCCGATTTCCGAAAAAATTTTGATTTCCGAGTCCGACTTTTGAGTCATTTCCAATTTCCGACAGTTCCGATTTCCGACCCTTTGTCATTTTCAGCCCACCTCTGGTAAGCATTATCGACCAGAACACAAAACAAACAAAACATTACAACATTCAACTTTACAAACATTTTATTGTAAAATTAAACTTTATTTAAAAAACCTGTTTCTTTTTTCTTTTTACGAGAATATATTTTCTGATTGGTCATAATTATCTTCTTTTTATTATTTTTTATATTACTCTAATCTTAATGCCATCCAAAATTTTTTCCTTTTTTTGGCATTTGCCGATGGCTCGCGACAATCTTTTCTTACAAAATTAGGCCGTAAATAATTATTTTTAAAAGGCAAATACCCCCAAACCGCGCGCAAAACTCTGCTCACCAATATTATAAAAATTGTGAAAGAAAAAAAGGGATTTAGGCGGCAAATTAAAGAAAAATGTGGGAAAGAATTTCTTTACTTTTTTGGCGGCATTTTTTTATATTTTAAGGATAAAACTAAAAAAAAGTAATATTTTTAAAACACGTTGGGGTTTTATATTTTTTAAATAAAAATTTAAACAAATAATTAAACTATTTGTAGCCCCCTTCCTCGATTGACCCAACTTCAGTTTTTCATACGGGCATTTCAACACTTCCCCCGCCGCCTTCTCTATTGGCCTCCGCTGATCAACTTTATGGTGATTTTAGAATTTTAAAATTATTTTAAAAAGAAATTTTAAAGGCCTCCAAAACGGCCCAAATGGAGTATTTGGCAACTTAACTTCCTTCGACCCCCTGCCTCCTCCCTCCAACAACCTTTTATCTGTTTCAAATACAAATACAGAAACATCCAACACCCCAGCAACACTCTTAAATTTGGAACAATGTTCGTCTTCTAACGGAAATCAATTTACTATTAGACAACCAGAACAACAACAACAATTACTTTTTGTTGGTACTCCAAATGGTCAGATAATTGAAGAAAAATTAAACACGAATTCTGGTAAATATTAAAAGAAAATAATCAGAATTTAGAAATCAGAATTTTTATTTAAAATTTTAAACTTAGTTTTTTTTGGAGATTTTACAGAAATATGATTTTCCGAAATGTTTCTGAGAATGTTTATTTAAAATTGTTTCGTCGAAATTGAAATTCTGAGATTTCTTATTTATGAGACATTTATGTATTTAAATTTCTGATTCTCCCATTAAAATTATTTTAAAATTAGTTCTAACTTCAACAACAATTCCAACAACTCTTTCTCTAATTTCTTCACCTCCCACTGGCGGCACAATTTCTTCAAAGCCATCTACTATGGGGAAAAAGCACAAAACAAAGAAAAATCTTCAAAATTCTAATATTTTATTATCTCGTCCAAGTACTTCTTTGGGGGGAGGAGGAGGAGGGGGGATGTTATCTTCAACAACACCTTTTCATTCAAAATTTGGAAGTGAAAGCCCTTTTAAAGAAAAATTAAAACAGAGAGATACTTCTTCCTCAAATGGGCGAAAGTCTCGTTCACGTAGTTTATTAAAAGATTCAGATGATGATAAATCAGCAGAGGAAAGAGAAGTAGAACGTCGAAATGCTAATAATACAAGGGAAAGGTATTTAATGAAAAAATTGTTTTCCTTTTAATTTTTTTATTTTTAAGAATTCGAGTAAGAGATATAAATGCGGCATTTAAGGTCTAAAAATATTTAAAAATATTTAAATAAAATATTTTTTTGTTTTGTAGGAATTAGCAAGGCTTTGTTGTAGTCACATGCCAAACTTGGAAGAAAGAAATTTAACTAAACTTAACACGGTAAAAAATTATTTTTATAAAATTAATCACGGTAAATTTACCATTGATCACTTATTATCCTCTCCCCTTAAACCTCATTTCAACGATTTTTTGGGTTCTATAATATTCTGGACAGTCAATTAATTCTGATTTTTTATTAATGCAGGTATGTTCATTTGAAATTCTGATTTTCTTGAAAAAATAATGTTAATAATGAACTATTTTCTTAAATTTTAGTTGTTGAAAGCTGTTGAGCTTATTCCAATGTTGGAGAAAATGGTTGATGAAAAAGTAATAATTATTTAAAAATTTACAAATTAAATAAATTAATTTACAGACCAGAATGATGGATCCTCGTGGAGATTGTGTTAAACGAAGAATGGAAACAACAGCAACAATTCCTGATTCAACTTCCTCCTCCTCCCTTCTATTAAATCCTTCCTCTAATGGAATTTTGAATTCTAATTTGTTTAATACTTGTGGAGCTTCATCTGATTTATCATCCTTAGCTTCTTCCTCTAATATTTTAAATCAACAACATTTTTTAAATTGAAAAGGAAAGAGAAGGTTAATGAAAAAAACTCTGTGCAATTCGTGGCGCGAACTTTGCGGACCCGAATTTTGCGGACCCGAACTTTGCGGACCCGAAATTTGCGGAACGAAAGATGCGGACCCGAAGGTTGCGGACACGAAGTTTGCGGACCTGATCTTTGCGAAACCAAGATTTTAGGATCGACACTTGAGTAAAAAGTAAAAATTAAAAATTTTATTTTTCGATGATTCCGGCAGAGTTTACCATGATCCATACCGGATTCAAAATTTTTTTTTGATTTTGCAAAATTTTTATCAATTTTTTATCTTAAAATTATTTCATTATTTAAATAATCTAGAAAATTTACTTAAAAATCATTTATATGGCTATTTCATAAGGTCATGATGCCTGAATTTATTCTAATTAACGCCGCAGGCTAAAATTTTTGAAATTTCCGAGGTTCGGTAGACTCTATTGTCGGTCCGCAAATTTTTGGTCCGCAAATCTCAGATCCGCAAAATTCGGGTCCGCATAGTTCGGGTCCGCAAAATTCGGGTCCGCAAAGTTCGGGTCCGCAAATTTCGGGTCCGCAAATTAAATTCCGCAAATTTCGGCGCGCCGTGCAATTATTATTTAAATAAATAAATATATTTAAAAAATTATTTTGAGAGAAAATATATTAAATACCTAAGTGTCTTAAATTAATTGGCAAAAACTAATTTAAAAGCTTCTTACTTCAACATAAATATTCTTTTTTTTTCTTTCTTAAAATGTGAATTTTTTAATTAAATAAAATTACATTTATATTTAAAAATAATTATTTAAAAAATTAATTAGGAATTTTTTTAAAAATTGCTAAAAATCTAAAGTTATATTGAGAGAGGGAATGAAATTTTATTTAATTATTTTTATAAAAATTATTTTAAATTTTAAAATATTTCCGTTTTACAATGTTTTTGTAATTAATTTTCTTTAATTAAATTCTAATGTTGTTAATGAATTTATTAAACTTTTCCTTTTCAATAAAAATTTTTTTTACTTAAAATATATTTTTATTTATATACATAAATATAGTTTTTATAAAATATTTTTAAAATAAATTTTAAAATAATATTTTTTAAATTTTTAAAATTAATTATTGGAATGACTTAAGGAATGAAAAATAAAATTTTTTAAAAATTTTCAACATACTTAAGGAATGAATGACTTAAGGAACGAAGTAGTATCTTAACTTTGTTGTATCAATTAGATAACTCTTCCACTTATTAGCATAACAAATTAAAAGAATTAAATTGAGGTGTATCTTCTATTTGTTATCTCCAGTTGATGTCTAAAATTTAAATAAAAGTCTGAGAAAATTCGGCACAATAAATTCGAAAAAATAAAGTGGCTCATAAAATTATAGCAAAACAAACACAGCTACCTACATAACCTCTATTTTAGCTTTTAATTTTGAAGTTAACAGCTAAAAGAAAATTATTCTATTTAAGAAACAAAAGACTTTCAATAAAAATAAAAACAAATTTTTTACTAGAACAATTTTTTACTAGAAACAAATTTTTACCATTGTTTAAATTTTATATAATCTAAATAATCAATTTTAAGGAAATTTCTGAAGAATATAATTTTGGCAAGAAAGATTCGGTAGAAATTGAAATTGAAATTAATGGAATATTCAATGAATATGACTATATTTATTTATTAGAATCACCACCATATACTAATTACTTTCCTTCTACTAACAAAATTTATACAAAGAAAGATATTATTAATTTAAATAATAAAAAAATAATTTATTTAAAAGAAAAACTTGAAAATAAATATAAAAAAGGATTGGATATTTACTTGAACTTCAAAATAAATGGAGTAAAAATATAATTTTAAATTAATGTTAAAGAGCATCCTTAACTAAGGACCAATGTGCGCCCGGCACGAATTTTTGATAAAAACGCCGATCGGGACTTTAAATTTTTATTTATTTCCGAGTAAACTTAATTGGTTGGATTAGTAGGAATTAAAATAAATTTATATTAAATATCTTAATTTATAAAAAATAAATTTTTTTCAGCCAGTTGTTAAAATTAGACCTGTTTTTAATGGTTTAATTGAAATAAATATAAGAGATGAAAATGGAGATGATTTACTAAATTCAAATGTCGTTGCACAAATAATTCGTCCGAGAATCTCTCTTACAGTTGTAAAAAGTATTATAAAATTAAATGGAATTGAAGCAAATTTGAAAGAATATATAAGCAATTTTAATATTATTAAATTAACAAAATTTAATTTATTTTTAAATTCAATTGAATGGAAAACCAAAAAAATATCCAAAAATAATTTTAATAATTTAAAATTAAAAGAAATTGGTAGGGCAGAAACAAGAAATCCTTTTTTGAAAATTTGTGTTAAATTTAATAAAATTGGGAAATATTTTATTTATATTTATGGAAGGAAATATTTTGATTATCAAATATATTCAAAACATTTATTCCAATTTTTTGTGGAGATAGAGAAAACAGATAAAGAGAAATGTTTAAATAAATTTTTTGGAAGTTTTTATGAAAGAAAAATATTAAAAGGAGAATTTAATAAATTTATTAATATTAAAATTGTTAAAACAAATAATAAAAAATATAAAGATGGAGACATGATTATTGGTAATCTAATGGATAAATCCAAAATTATTACTCGTGTTTATATACAACCGATGTTTGAATTGAAAAATAAAGAATAGAAGAAATAAGAAAAATTTTGTGTTTAAAGATAAATTAAAAAAAAAGACATTTTCTAAACTAGAGGCCGGACTGAGACGAGATTTCAATTCTCGTACGACGCTCCCAGTCCGTCTTAAATTAAATTAGTGTTTGAATTTTAGTCTAAAATTTCCTTTATTATTGCAAATGATTTATTAATATTTTTTAATTAAAGAAGTAATAATTAATTTGAAAATAAATTAACAGAATAAAAAACTGTCTGAAAATATTTATTCTAAATATTATAACGAGGATGTACATATCTTAATGTTAGGGTATCTCTCTCTTAATTTCTTTAGAGATATTAAATGATTAGTTGACAGCTTGGTGTAATTTTTTAGCATAATTCTTAAAGAGTTTTAATTAAAATTTTGAAGATAAAATTTTATAATAAAATTATTTATATCCATATCAGCCTGTATCCGTAAGCAAACCTGGTTGTTTAAAAAGGATGTTTAAAAAACTCAAATATTCTATAAAAATGCCAAATTTATTCAGATAATTTTTATGATACATACATACATATAATTTAGTTTAAAAAATATTTAGCAAAAACTTTCTAGTCCTTATCACGTTTAATCATCTTAATTCTTTCAAACTTGAGCACAAGAAGAATTTTCTGAGTTAATAGAGAGAACGGTGATGCGACTTTTGCGGCGCGTACACTTGCGGCTCGGACATTTGCGGCCCAGACACTTGCGGCTCGCCCCTATTTTGACACTTGCGGTCCCGACCAGACATGCACGAAACTCCAAAATTTTTTCAGACGAAACGAAACGAAACAAAATTTTTTAAAAATCGTTTCGTTAACGAAACGAGACGAAACAGTAAAAATTTAGCGAAACGAAACGAAACAAAACGAAACATTTTAACTTTCAAAAAATTTAATAAAAACGGTTTTATTTTATTAAATATTAGATTTTAGACACGTTAATAGGCCAGTTATGGCCTATAATTGATCTAATAGCTTGGCGGGATCTTAAATTGTGGTCCCAGGTTACTCATACTCCACTATATCAGCCTTAATTCCACCAAATCAACTTTAATCGAATTATGTGTTGAGCATATGTGTATATCACTGACCTTGACGACCCGTTTCCTGATTCCCTAAAATCGTGACTTAATTTTGTCGGAAATTACTATCCCCCAAACCCTTCCTGATTCCCGACATTTTTTTAAATTTTTTAAACCCTACAAATCCACCGATATCCCGTTTACTCTCTTCCAATTTCATATACCACCATTGCTCCCGCCAAATCCAATGATATATTTCTCAACTCAGATTTTTTTTGATAACAACGTTAATGATTAGGGTTGCCAAAATGGACCGACTCTGACCAAAAGATCGAGTCAGGCCTAAGATATTTGGCCCGAAAAGACTTGTCTGGCCCGAATCGATAGAAACAGGCCCGAAAAATCCGGATCCGGAAAATCCGGACCGGATCCGGTCCGGTTATAAAAAATTATAAACCGGACCGGATCCGGTCCGATTTATAATACTTTAATTCTAATAATATTTTAATTTACTTAATTCTTTAATCATCGCCGCAAATGTCGGGGCCGCAATTGTCTGGCCGCAAGTGTCACAATTGGGGGGAGCCTCAAATGTCAAAAACGCAATAGTCTGGGCCGCAAGTGTCGGGGCCTCAAGTTGATAGCCGCAAATGTCTGCGCCGAAAATTTCTTAGCCGCAAGTGTCGGGACCGCAAGTGTCAAAATAGGGGCGAGCCGCAAGTGTCTGGGCCGCAAATGTCTGAGCCGCAGGTGTACGCGCCGCAAAAGTCGGCTAATCGAGAGAACTAGTTGAATTATTTCGCTGAAAAAGGAATTTTAAATATGATTTTTCTTAGAAATTAACCGCGTATTTATTTCTCATTTTGCCGCCATAAAAAGCTATTGAAATTACCAGGCTTTCGATGACGGTAGCTTTGAAACGCCATGATAAAGTGCAAACTTGTTATATTTAATGAAAAGGGCATTTAAAGTTAATTTTTATTTATGTATTACATACATACATGCATATTACATCACATAATCCTTCTATTATGAAATATCGACTTCAAAATACATATATTCACATGAAGATATCAAAAAAATCCTCGATTTCACATGTATATTTTTGTGAAATTATATCAAATATATAGAAAGTGCAATATCATTTCAAAACTTGTTTAAGTCTTCCTTTATTCAATAGCTTTCTTTATTCAAATCCTTAAAGTGCATTTTAAAAGGAAGGTGTAATCTTTTCTAAAGGGCAAGCTTAAGGTTATTGTAAAATACAGGGCCAACCAATTTCATTGAAATCACTCTTCATTTTTATGAAAAGCAAATCCAGTTTAAAAAGACTACATATACTTTTCAATTAAATTCAACCAAAACAATAAATACAACGAATTTATACATCATATTACCATAATTTCAAAAATTAAGTTTACAAACAATATCTTAACTAATTATACTTCACAATCTTGCTTTTTAATTTTCTTTTAATTTTTAAATGTTTATAATTACTCTTATTTTAGCAATACCAAAAAATTTGAGTACCAAAAAATTTTTAACAAAAAATTTATGCAATTTTCATTTCTTCCGAATTTTACAGAATACACTAAATCACAAAATAAATCCAGCAGGGCTGTAAATAATTCTTTGCAGCCACCATCATTTACTTTAACGATAATAAATTGTTGATTGAAAATCTTTTAGAAAATGAAATTAATGAAAATAATTTTAAATAAAATAAATGAGGGGAAGATAAAATTTTGCCTGAATTGAATCCTTCGAGATTACAGAATAATTGTTGAAGGAAAGAAATTCTGAAAAATTAAAATAGATAGATAAAATAATAGATAGATATAGATAACTATTATCCTCAATCTCCTTTTGAAATTATAAAAAAAAAGAAAAAATAAAAGAATTGGTTTTAATTATTTCCAATAAAACCTTTTAATAAATTTCTTAGTCATTCTTTAAAAGTTTTTTCAAATTTTTAAAAATATAAGGATTAAAAATCAAGAGAACGAGGAACTTTGAGAAAATTAAAAGGATATTTTCAAAAAAAATACAGTACATATAAACAAAGTTTTTCTTGTTAGGTGAGGGGAAGGGGAGGAGGGGGGAGGGGGATTTGTGGAAAATAAAGTTGTACTTTGATAATTAATTACGTCTACGATTTTTTTATTTTTTCTTTGCCAATGCGGAAATGTTTGTCTGGACTTTAAGAAAATAAATACATACTTGGACTAAAGTATTTACATTGAAAGCAAATATAATTAAATAAAAGTTTAAAAATTTTATAGACATTTTAGCTAAAAAATAATAAAAAAATAAAAACTAAATATATTAACTAAATAATGTGCTAATTGAAATTTGGGATAAATAATTAAATAATCACTACATAGTTCAGTCCAATAAATATTAAAGTTTAGTTTTAATTAATTTCCTCGATCTTCTTTTGTGTTCCCTTCTTTGTTTTGAATTGTTTTTAATTTCCGATTGTATCCTTTCCAATGTTCTCGAAATACTCGTTGTTTGGACTAACCGGCAATTAACCAAACTGAAAAAGCAGTCATTCCTTTTTCGTTTTTTAATTTCTTCTTGTTGTTGGTCATTTATCGGGTTTTGTATAATTAATTCAATATTCTCTCCAGAAGCTGTGAGGGAGGAGATAAGGCGATTAACTAAAGAAGATGAATCATCGTTGGTAGAAGATAATTGAATTTCTTGCCTGAATATTAAAAAAATATTAGAGAATAATTTATAATATTTAAGCTTATAAATTAGTTGGCTATTAGTGTTTTTTTAAATATGAAGGTGTTTGTTGGAGTTTTTAAATATTTATGGAGACTAGAGACACTAGTGGGAGGGTTGTACGTGAATTTTAAGAGATATCTCGAAAGATGCCGATAACAGAGCTTTTTATTTAAATCTCGTCTAGAAAATAAGGATATCATTAAGAAAATCACTATTGTTATTTTGCTTGATATATTTTATTAAAGCATTTACCGATTTAATTCATTTTCATCTGCACCATTTAAGTGAATAGATTTGTTAATTTCATGATTCCGGATACGTCTTAGTCGAGGGTGTAAAACAGCTGAATAAATTAAATCAGCAGATAAAATTAAAATAAATAATTGGATGTTGAAGAGTTTAGACATTTGCTGATAATATTTTCTAAAAATTAAAAGAAATAAAATATAATTTTAAAAAATAATTAAAATCTATTTACAATTTATTTGAGATAAATATTAAATTAATCAAAATTTTATTTATCAAATAACAAGAGTGAAGTTTTAATTTACAAATATGACCAGCATCTTTTAAAAAGGGCGTGCCAAAAAATTGTAGCAACTTGCTTTATAATCCTTTTTTAAAAGGACATTAAAATTACTAAATGTCAACAACCTATAAATTAATTTTAGATTTTTGGTATGGTTTCTTAAGTTTTTCGAGAGAAAACATGACGTTTTTGTGAGACCTCTCATTTCGGAATTTTCATTGTTAAAAGGTTAACGGAACTACGTACTAAAATACTTTTAACCTCCAAAACGGAAATAAAATTTGGTAAAATTAAAACGATATGAGCACTTAAGATTATAATATAATACAAATAATTTATTAATGAGAATTAAAGTTAGAATAATGATTAGGTTTAAGTCAACCCTTTGTTCGTACTCATAAATATAAGCAAATCTTAACACTACATTAAAATCTAAATAAAAATGTGTGCATTTATTAGAGACCGGACGGTACCGTAATACGGTACGGAATACGGTACGTTAAAATTTTGAATTTTATCGGTATTTTTTAGAACGAAATTTTTCGATATTTCAGTACGGCAAATACTAGAGTACTTCTAGTCTTTAGTATTTATTATAAAAATGAAAAATTACATGTATTAGCAAAAATGCTTTAAAATTGAGCTTTAAAATGCTTTAAAAATACAGACAAATATGAAATCATTTTATAAAACAATGATTGAGGGATCTTTAAAATTTGGAAATAAAACACCCTCAAAGGATTAGATAGTCTAACAATTTACTTACTTACTAATAAATATATTTTATTATTTACTTAATTATATAATTTTTATTGTTTGCTATTTAATTTATACTTAAATTTTTAACTAATCCTTTTTAAATATTTAGCTTTTTTTTAAAATTAAAGCATTAATTAAAAACTTGTTTATTTAATAAATAAATAATAATTAATTATTTTAAATAACGTTTACTACTTATTAAATAAATAATTTGATATAATGTTTATTGCTTTAAAATTAAAATTAAGAAAAAATAAAAATAATATTTATATTAGTTGTTTATATTAAATATTTTAATTTAGTTTGTGTGTTTGTTTTTCTTAAAAATGTTTGGTAAAAAAATATTTTAAAAAATGAATTAATATTTTATAAACGTAATTCATATTTAATTAAATTTTGATTGCTTTTCATCATCCATCCACTCATTTAACGGGCAAAATAACAAAAAACATTTTCCTTATTTACAGCTAAAAACTTAATCGTTTCATTAAATCCTTAAAAACATTTATAATTTAGTTCTTTCTAATGACCTTTATTAAATACGTGGAAAATGGTAAGTATTGCTTTTCAAATAAATTTAAAGTAAAGGGATTGGTGGACTAAAAATGAGAGAATAAATTCCCCTCTTTAATAAAAAAACTTTTTTTATTTCACACGTAAAACCATTAAAAAAAGCTTTGAATTGAACTTGTATTTAAATTTAAAAAAATAATAATCTGGATAAATGTGTAGATTTATGGATGGGTTAAATGCTGGCACTAATGGACATTTATCTTTTTATTTTTAATCCCCTTTTGACTTGTTAATTTGCATCTGTCAATTTGACATTTAAAATATTTTTTTATTTAATACTAACTAGAGTAATATATGAATATTCTTAAAATAGAATATAACACTTTAGTTAATCTTTATTTATGATGAGTACTTGGATTTTAGAAAGAGAGAGAAAGAGAACGATAATTTTAAAGTTTTTAAGTGCTAGATTAAATTGAAATTTTTTTTCAATTTTATAAAAATTTAATATTTTTTGGTCTTTACTTTTTAAATTTTAAAAAATTCTTTTTAAATTTCTTTTTTGGTTTCTATTTATATCTTATCTGTAATATTTTTTCTCAAAAAATTTTTTGGGTAAATTTCTTGTAAACTGATGACCTTTACGGGGAAATTTAATAGTTAATTGTTTTTTTTGTTTAATCAATTAAATTCATTCCTAAATTAAATATTTTTTTTTAAATAATTCAAAAACCTGTTTATAAAATATTTATTCATTAAATTTATTTGACAATCTATTTTTAAACTTTAAAAGTAAATATACGCGTGACAGACAATTATTTTTAATCACAAACAAATTGTTCGTTGTTTAATTTTAAAATTTTCTCTCAAAACAAATAAATTATTTTAACAAATAATGACTGCCAATAATTCTTCTATTCTTCTATTAAAAGAATAACTTCTCTACTTAAATGACACCCTCTAATAGTATGGCTCCTTTTTAATGCCAAAAATTTTCCAAATAAAAAAGATCCAAATTTCTATTTGTTTTTCTTATTTTTCTTGACATTTTTTGAGTTATTGAAAAAACATGGAAATTATTTTCAATTTATATTTTTTCAAAACAAGAGATTTGGGGGAGTAGGATTTGTGAATTTAATGGATTCTATTATGGATTCTTTAAAATTAATCCCGTAAATGCTGTAATCGTGCCGAGATTAGAGTTAATAGATAGCAGAGATATTAAGAGATTTTAGTTACATCGGGGGATATCGGTGAATTAAAGGGATTAAAGGGATTTAGAATGATTTTGAGAGATTTGCATTGATTAACAGTGGTATTAGTGGATTGGGAGGGCTAAGAGGAATATCGTGGGATAAATATAAATTAATTGAGATATTGAGAGGGATATCGGGAAGCTGAGGAAATTAAGAATGATATTGAGGAGTAGAAGGGAATAGAGAAATTTGAGGGATTATGAAGGAATCGGTGAGTGGGAGGAATTAAGTGTGCTATTAAAAATTGTATAAAACTTTAAAAAGGTGTTTTGCTGCAAAATTATTTAAGAAAAACATTATAGTATTTGCTGCAAAATTATTTTATGCTACATATTCTAAATCTTTTGTTTTGATAAAAAATAAATTCGTTTTCAAATTAAAATTCAAAAAAATTAAATTAAAAAAAATCAAAAAAATGCAATGACCCCCCCCCCCCACCCTCCACTCCCAGTTGAATGACCCCTTCTAAAAGAAAGGCTCTTTGGAAGATGTTTTAAAAATAGAATGGCCGGCCATTCTATTAGAGGTATTTACATTTATAGATGAAGGATTTTGGCCGTGGAGATGAATTTATCATTATCTTACTAAACATCTTATTATTTTATAAATTTACTCAATTTTACACATTTATTATATTATCAACACTGCTTTTGTGTTTTTGGTTATGGTAAATAGGATTTTTAAATAAATATTTTTTAATTATTTGTAAGGCGTTTATACGACAAAAAACAGTATTGGCAAAAGAAGGGAGTTCCAAGTTCCCCGGCAAATCTTTTTGTAGGGCATATGAAAGAAGTAAGATCCTACAATGGAGTAATTGAATTCGAGAAAGAACAATTTAAGAAATTTGGTAAAACATATGGGTAAAAGTTGCTTATATTCTAGACTAGCAACAATTTATTAGAATGTATTTTCTGGACATGAACTGCCTTGTGACAATGGATTTGGATTTAATCAAACAAATTTGCATTAAAGACTTTGCCCATTTCCCTGCTCGTTTTTCAGTTATTTCTTTATTACAAATATTTAAATAAATAATTTTATTAAGGGCCTTCCAGATACTCAAAATAAAAAAATAATTCAAAAAAGCCTGCTTAGAAGCATGGTTTCTGTAATCCAAGGAGACGATTGGCGACGTGTTCGCAATCGTATAACGCCAGCATTTACAACTGGAAAGCTTAAAAAGGTCAGAAATGTAAATTTCTATAATTTCTTCCTATCAATTTAAGATAATTCCAACGATTGCCGAAAGCTCTAATCACTTGATTAACTATATTTCTCGTAAATATGTAGTAACTAACGAGGAAATACCTTTGAAGGAGTAAGTACTTAAATGTGACAATATTTTATGTCCACATAATATCTAGAATTTTTGGCCGTTTTGCTCTTGATGTAATTGGTCGTTCGGGATTTTCATCAGATTTTAAAACATTTTCGGATGAGGACAGTGAAATAGTTAAACAAACACTTGTTTTCTCAAATCCCGCAAGAAATATGGTCTATTTTGCCTTTATGAGTTATTTTTAAATTTAATTATTTAAAAACTGTATTAACAAATTTCAGCATTCTTTCCCTTCCTAAATAGCTTGCTAGAACGTTTCTTTTCTTTTGATTTATGGGATATGCCTGCGCAAAGATTTTTCCACGGTATTATGTCTAAATTGTATGATGAACGTAAAGATGATCCTGAGGCTAAAGATGTGGATTATTCATTGATAAATGTTTAGTTCCAATATTTATTTAGAAATATAATGACATTTTTCAATTATTGATGAATGCTGTAAATGATTCTGAGGCCTCCGAAATAGAGGATGTTACAAAGGGTCAAACTACCTATGAACTAAACAATAATTTGATAACGAAACAATATGATAAATATCTCAGCAAAATAGAGCTTTTTGCTCAAGGGCTTATACTTTTAATTGCTGGGTTAGAAATTTATTCAAAACTAAAGCTATGATTTAAATATTTTTTTGTTTTAAACAGATATGATACAACAGGTTCAGTTTTGCAATTTGCTATTTATATGCTTGCAATGAATCCAGAAGTTCAGGCAAAATTGAGAGAGGAAATTAATTGTGTGCTTGGGGAGGAAGTAAAATAATTTTATTTCTAAATAAAATCATTTCAGGAACAAATTTCATATGAGCATTTAAAAAGGATGGAGTATCTACAAGCAGTTGTTCAGGAAACTTTAAGAATGTATCCGCCAGCTCCCTCGTAATTAAACTTAAATATATGTGAATCAAAATTATTTTCTTAGCTCCAATCGTGAATGTAATTCTAATTTAAATATAAACGGAATTAATTTACGCGAAGGAGATTTAGTTTTTATACCAATCTATTCTATTCAACATAATGAAGAATTTTACCCCGAACCTGAAAAATTTAAGCCGGAAAGGTAATTGCTTCTTAATTATACTTCTAAATAAACCATTTTTAAAATAAAAATTATTTAAAGATTTATTCGGGAAGAAAAAACTACTTTTGACCCGTTAACGTTTTTAGCCTTCGGATTAGGCCAAAGAAACTGTATTGGAATGCGTTTTGCTGAATTCCAAATGCATGTAGTTATTGCTCTTATTGTCAGGCGTTTTAATTTCAAGCCGGGTCCAAACAGTCCGGTTATTTAAAATTTAAAAAAATTTTAAAAAATTATTAATTCAGAGTCTACCTCTAGAACTTGAATCAATTATGCTTTTACGTCCAAAAGAAAAACTTGTAGTTTTGGCTGAGGATTTATTATAAAAATATTTTTGATTTTAAAATAATGTGGAAATTCTATAAATATTTAAAAATATAAATAACAAATTTGTAAAGAAATTTTATTTATTGAGTGCTAATATAAATATATATTCCTAATACACAGATGTTTCTAGTCATAGTCCTACCATGATATACCCCAGGTAGTTAATCCTCATCTACCCATTTTTCGCAATTTTGCCCTCGAGAGTTCAACACTATGAAATGTACTAAGACGCTTATGTTAGGTCACAAAAACTATATGTATCACACTAATTAGAGTCAGGGGTGGGCGCAAGAGACAATTTCAAAAAACGCAAAACGCAACGCAAGGCCAAAAATCAACGCAAAACGCAAAAAACGCAAAAACGCAAAAACGCAAAATTGGTAAAAAATTTTTTAAATTAATTATTAGCTACTTTTCAGCTAAAAATTGAAGTATTACATTAAGTCAATAAGTCCTACTCGATTTTCTGATGCATGTAAGTTAGATGGGTAATGATTTGGAGTAATATCGAGGATACATGGGGATTATAAAGGATATCAGAGGATTTAGAGGGATCAAGTGGGTATTGGGGGATAGTAGATTATAGGGTGATAATAGTAGCGGGGGATATATATATATATATCGGACGGAGCCTAACTTTTATCGAGTCGGGCCATACGAATCTTTTTCGGACCTAACATCCATGATCCGACTCGATCTTTCGTTACGAGTTGGTCCACTTCGGCAACCCTATACTAATCCAAATTTGGACTAAAAACACCTAGATTTGTAGCTATTGTGTTTATTTGAAATTCTAATTTTTAAAAACAATTATAAATAAATGTTTATATAATTAATTTTTCTGGGAACTGTCAAATCTGGAGATTTGATTTTTTTATTTAATTTTTAAACCTATTCAATTGCCCGCCACCTTTTTTTATATGACAGACTAGAAAATGTTAATTTGTTTGTTTTGCCCATCATCGCCCGCTTAACAAACGGGAAGATTTTTAACCGTTTTTGTTCGCCCTTTTGTTCTTTCCAATGAGCTTTACACATTTTTGTTTGGCCAACTCTTCCCTAACTAAAACTGTGAAATTCCCTTTTTAAAATTATGTGCAGAATTGCACAACCTTTTGGCCGGTGCTACTTCTGTCCTTTCAATGATCCCCGCTCAGTAAAATCTTTTGTGAGCAATATTTTGTGTAGTATATTTTGAACCCTAAAATCTTTCCAAATACACACCCCACCCTTTTTTGTCCGACTATAAAATGCATTTTCTGCGCAGCTATAGTCAGTTTTTGAACTTGTACCCTTTCCTTCCAGTAAAATATTCCTCTCCCCGATTAAAGTTTTAAAGTAAAGGTTTTTGAACTTCTTCTATTCTTTCCCAGATATTCTTCCCCGTTTAAAGTTAAAGTAAAAGTTTTTGAACTGTTTTCTTTACCCCCGAAAAGATTGGCTTTTGAATATTCTATCCCCAAAGTTTGAATAATTTTATAAAGATTTGAGTTTTTGTTGTTGATTTAAATTGGTTGATAAATAAATTTCTTAAAGTTGTTTGTGGATTTTATTGAGATTTAGATATTCTGTTTAAAGATTTAGTTCATTCCCCCCTTTTTATTAAAGTGAAGATTAAAGTTATTTTTTGATTTAATGTGCTTTCCCTCCCCTTTTATTAAAATCCTTTATTGGATTTTACAGCTCAGCCGGTGAAGACCCGAGACCTATTTTTAATTCACCCTTTAAAGAAATATATTTTTTTCCTTATTATTTTTATTCCCCAGTTAATAATTAAAAGTTTATATTTATTTGATTATAAAAAGTCCGGATTATTTATTTGTTTTAAAAGAATGTCCCTAACTTATAGAAACCAATTGTACCAGCTCTGTTCCATTACTAAAGAAATACTTCTCCCTAGCCCGTTCTCTGCACTAATAGAAGATTATAATAATTTTAAAACCCAATCTCCCGAATCTACCAAGGCCTTGATTAATGAAATAGACCTTACCTCCCAAGAGATCACCAAAATCCTTAATGATTTTAAAATGGCCCACGATTCATGGCAAAACTTAAGAATTTCAATGACAGAAACTGAAAGGGCAACCGACAGCCAAATCCTAGAGAAATTCCTTCAAGAAACAGATTATATAAAAATTATGTATGACCTTAAACGGTATGCACGAAAGTTTCGGAATTCCCGTAATGAATTAGAAAGTAACCTACCTAAAACTAAACCTAAATTTGACCATTCACATCTCCTTCCTGAACTTCCTCTTTTAAACCCTTCCCAGAACAGACCTTTTAATGAAAATACTCAAGACTCGTTAAAACCAGTTTATACAAATTCTAGTGATAAATCTTATCGAAACCGGACCTTCTCTAATTTTTGTTTGTATCCTAACCCTTCGATTACAGAACACCCCGATGAGAAATTAGTTAATAATCCGACCCCCTTCATTAAAAGTTACACTAAAGAAATGAATAAATTAGATCCACTTCCTATTCCTCCTAGCTTTCCCCTTCTCGAAGAAATAAATAATGGAAAGAATCCTAAAGATTATATCAATATGAATAAAGGAATTACAGATGAAATTATTAATAAAAGACCCATTAGTCCCCCTCCCGGCTTTACTCCTATTGATGAAGTTTGTATTATTAGAAATATTTGTAAAGAATTAACCCCCTTAAAAGAGACTATAAATGAAAATAATGAAGTTAAAGTTTATAATTATTCTAAAGAAATACCCTTTGTCTTGACTAATAAGCCAATTCCTGATATATCCCCAGAAGATCCCCCTTTTTCTCTTGAAAATTTACAACAGTCTACTTCATCTGTTACTTTAAATATTACATCTGGAACTACTAATATTAATTCATCAGAAACTACTATTAAATCATCAAAAGAAATATTGAAAGTGAAGAAAATAGTAAACAACAATAGTATTTGTGTGGAAAGATTGCTAAAACAGTCCCGTAAAAAAGCATCTCTAAAAAAGTCCCGTAAAACCCGAAAGAATTTGCCAAACCCTCTTCCAATCCCAGAACGATCCTTTAAAGAAGTTAAAATGGCTCAACAGAATGAAATTATACATTATACCCCCTCGAGCAGAGATGCTCATTTTAATGAGATTAACCCTATTTTCAGATCCCTTGTACAACTTCGTCCTTCGGTGTATTATCGGAAAATTTTCAATAGCCTTGGAACACCCCTTTGTGTAAAAATTGAACTCTCTAATATAAAATGTAGACCCCATTCCCACCTATTTCATCTTTACAAATCCTTTGTACTCCTGTTAAGTTCCTACATATTTACTGCTAATGCTCAACACGGAATGGAATGGACTGCATCAAAATTCAATTAGTTGTTTCAGGTTAATCTCATCTTTATTATACGAAATTAATTCATATTTTTTTCTCAAATCCAAAATCTCCCTTTTGTCCTCCCTTCTTCGTGCTGGAATATGCTTATGGCCCTCAACATGAAATTAAATGCTTTGAAAGAAAGAAAATAAAGAAATTGAGGAATATTGGACCAACTACCCAAAGATCAACAACCCCATGTTCTATTAGATTTTTTTTCTTTGAAGTCCCGAGTGTCAAATCTGGAGATTTGATTTTTTTATTTAATTTTTAAACCTATTCAATTGCCCGCCACCTTTTTTTATATGACAGACTAGAAAATGTTAATTTGTTTGTTTTGCCCATCATCGCCCGCTTAACAAACGGGAAGATTTTTAACCGTTTTTGTTCGCCCTTTTGTTCTTTCCAATGAGCTTTACACATTTTTGTTTGGCCAACTCTTCCCTAACTAAAACTGTGAAATTCCCTTTTTAAAATTATGTGCAGAATTGCACAACCTTTTGGCCGGTGCTACTTCTGTCCTTTCAATGATCCCCGCTCAGTAAAATCTTTTGTGAGCAATATTTTGTGTAGTATATTTTGAACCCTAAAATCTTTCCAAATACACACCCCACCCTTTTTTGTCCGACTATAAAATGCATTTTCTGCGCAGCTATAGTCAGTTTTTGAACTTGTACCCTTTCCTTCCAGTAAAATATTCCTCTCCCCGATTAAAGTTTTAAAGTAAAGGTTTTTGAACTTCTTCTATTCTTTCCCAGATATTCTTCCCCGTTTAAAGTTAAAGTAAAAGTTTTTGAACTGTTTTCTTTACCCCCGAAAAGATTGGCTTTTGAATATTCTATCCCCAAAGTTTGAATAATTTTATAAAGATTTGAGTTTTTGTTGTTGATTTAAATTGGTTGATAAATAAATTTCTTAAAGTTGTTTGTGGATTTTATTGAGATTTAGATATTCTGTTTAAAGATTTAGTTCATTCCCCCCTTTTTATTAAAGTGAAGATTAAAGTTATTTTTTGATTTAATGTGCTTTCCCTCCCCTTTTATTAAAATCCTTTATTGGATTTTACAGAACAATACTTTTGGATAATAAATAAAAGAGAATTTATTTAAATATTAACAAGTGCGAAAAAAAGAATCCTACTATGTAAATTTCTAATTTCTAAATATTATTTTTTCTTCTAACATCCACGTAGTTGTTCACGCAATATTTTATGAAATTCACCAATACTTTTATCTGTAAAAACTTTATTTGGATCTCCACTAATCCTAGCCAATTCATCCCTGGCAACAGCCATTGTTTCGTTATTATTTACAGCAACAGCGAAAACATTAGGAATAAGTTTATGAAGTTCTATTGATTCAACTGAAAAGTCATGTTGTCCAAATCCATCAGTAATAACAACTGCTATCGGAGTTGCCACACCTGGCCTGGCACCTCGCTCAATTGAATACTCGACAATTGCCTAAATAATTGTGTAAATAACGGTTCCACTAAGTATAGTTTGCATATTTAAAATTGTTCTGGTTTTTAATCAGAATTTTAATATTTTAATTTTATTATTTTAAAACATATGTCTATATAAAATTCTGATACTTGTGGAAAAATTTTTGTTCATTTAATATTCTGATTTTATTTTGGAATAATAATTTTTCAATTCATTCTAGATACAATTCTGATTTTTTTCAGAATTGCTTCACTTACTAAAAACATTTTAATTTCTGATCTTTCAAATTTACTTAAAATTATATTTATTTCAGAAAATATTCTGGAAAATTAATTAGTATTCATTACCTGTCGTAGAGCAGAATGTATAGCTGTAATTCCATCACTAAATGGAATGTCATTGAGCAAATAAAGCAACCTTTCTTGACTTTGAGGTGATAAAAATGATTGTATTGTGCGCACTTTATCTGCTGCTGCAAATTTAATAAGTGCGACATGTGCATTCTTGGGACCCAACCGCAATTTTCGAATTATATCTGCAGCTAAACGCTTTTCTTGTTCAAAAGCTTGTTCCACACTGCCAGATGAATCAATTAAAAGAATTAAATCAATAAGGCATCCAGGCCTGAATGTTGTTGTAGGTGATGAAAATGTGCTTGAAGTTGTTAATGGTGTTGATGAAAATACAATAGATGGAAGAGGTGGGCGTGTTCTTTGAGAAGGAATTATTTGTGTTGTTTTAGGTTCTAATATTGTTTGTTGTTTTCGGGAGGTTCTAAAAGAATTAATTGATGTTGCAGTTGGTCTTCTAGTAGATGTAGTAAAAGCAGTATTCTAAAAATGTTTAATTAAATGATTTATTTTTCAACGTTTCCGAAAATGTTTATTTTATGATGTTTAGTTAACTTTTCCAAACGTTAAACTTGTTTAAACATTCCAGAGTTGTTTATTTACCTTTTCCGGAAATGTTTATCTTATGTTGTTTTGTTTCTTTTCCGGAAAGGTTTAATTTCAGATGTTTTGCTAATTTTCCGGAAATTGTTTAATTTTCTGATGTTTATATAACTTTTCCGGAAAATGTTTAATTTTCTGATGTTTATATAACTTTTCCGGAAAATGTTTAATTTTCTGATGTTTATATAACTTTTCCGGAAAATGTTTAATTTTCTGATGTTTTATTTATTTTCCGGCCGGGAAAAGATTAATTTTCAGATGTTTATATAACTTTTCCGGAAAGGTCTAATTTTCTGATGTTTTTCCGGAAAATGTTTAATTTTCTGATGTTTTATTTATTTTCCGGAAAAAGATTAATTTTCAGATGTTTTGTTTACTTATCGGAAAAGGATTAATTTTCTGATGTTTATTTAAATTTCTATAAATGTTTAATTGTTAGTTCCGGAAATTTTAATTGATGTTGTTTAATTAGTTTTTCCAGAGTTAATTTTCTTATGTTTTTAGATGATTAAATATAAATCCTATTCTATTTCTAGACAAATGTTTGTTCCATTAAATATTTTTATTTGTTCTGATTTAATTTCTAAAATACAAAAATTACTAACCAACTCATTTCTTCCTCTTTGACTAAGAACATTGTTTCTGAAATTATTTTCATTAATTCTTCCAACATTTTGTTTATTAGTTGTTGTTTTCAGTAAAGCAATTGTTGATGATTTTGTAGTAGAAAGATTAATTAATGTTGGGGGTATTGTACTAGTAACAATTATACTCTTTGTTGTATTTATTCTAGACAAAACAACCCTCTCAATATTTTTTAAATTATTTTCATTTAATTTTTGTTTGTTAGGCAAAACAATTTTATTCTCTAAATTTAAATTAAAATTTTCTTCTTCCTCTTTTTTCAACGGTAAAACAGCTACTATATCTTTTTGACGTTGATTTTTCTCTTCTTTTTCTTTTTCCTCAACTTCTTCAATAATTTTCTTTTCCTCAATTAATATTCTTTTTGAAGAATTATTTTTGATTTCCCTCCTTTCAAAAGGTTCTTCCTCCATTTCTTCGTCATCCTTTGATTTTTCTATTTGTTCTTCACTTCCTGCTACAAAGAAGTTTGAAGAGGAATTTAATTGAGATTCGGATGGTTGACATTCTAATGCTTTGGCCAAAAGAAAGTGAGCAAATTCGGCATTTCTATCATAGGGGTAAATACGTTCAACAGAGCCAGTAAATGCACTCAACTGTTAAATAATAAGAGAATACTTAAATAAAACGAAGTCTATTAATTAATTTATTTTTAAAATTTATTTAATAAAATAACCATACCGTTTGTTCATCCACTTCCTTGGAACTATCTACTGCATGACAAATAAGACCTGAGGTCTTTAATTTAAAAAAGTTTTAAATTTAAAATATTAATTTTTTACCTTCTTAATTAATTCCCCAACCCTTTTTCTCTCCTCCGGCCCTTCCAAATCATTCTTCCCATCTCCAACAATTAAAATTAACCCATTAGATTCAGGTCTTCTCCCAGCTCCGTTATAATAATTAATTGCTGTTTCAACAGCTTTCGAATAATTTGGACGTATAGAGATTGAACGAATCCGTTCAATTCTTTTAAATATAGATTCTCTATCTTGAACTTCAGAAAAATAAAGTTCTTGGTGTTGTTCTCCAATTGAAATAACTGCTAAACGGACACGATGACTGAGAGGGAGAGAACCTTTAATAAATGATTAGAAAAATTAGAGGAAAAATAACCGAGAACATCTAGAAGTAAATAACGATTAGAACTCAATTTTGGGTCATTCCCTGTTGAACTAATGTCTGTATTGTCTAGAACAACAATTAAATCAAGTTTTGCTTTTTGGCAAGTGTTACTGTCATCTCTCTATAAATTTTATTTTTTAAGTAAATTTTGTTTAATATATGTATACCTGAAAATCTCCAAATTCTCGAGGACCACTTCCACCACTATCACCCCCAACACCTTCATCATTTACTTTATCGTTTTTATTCAAATTTTCAATTTTCTTTTCAGAATTATTATCAGAACATTTATTATTATTTATTAACCCAACAATATCTTCCAAAAATCGTTCAGTAGATCCATCTCTATAAATTCTTTTTTTATCCCCAACATACTTAAAAATAAATTTAATTTAAATATTTCTAATTAATTAATTTACGTGTTCCAATTCTCGTAAATCTACTTCCTCTCCAAGTGCTACACCAAAACGTTCAGCCCCTGATTGGGCAAGTCTTTTACTTGCAGCCAAAACATTTTCCCATGGATCTTGACTCATTCCGTCATTCATCAGAACAATTACCTTAAGGAAATTAAAAATGTTGTAGAAAATATTTATTTGGGGAAATGTTTATTTAAAATTTTGGTTTTTCTGAAGTAGGGTATTTGAATGCAGAGTCTTAAAGAAAATAAATTATTAAGAAATTTCATAAAAAATTTCCAAAAATTTTTAATTAAAAATTTTTTTAAAAGAAATTAAGAACTTGTAAAGCATCATCTCTTCTTCCTTTCTCCAAATCCTGAACAGCCAATTCTACAGCTTTTGAAGTTAAAGTACTTCCACCCCTATAACTAATATCTTCTATTGCTTTTCTAACCATCTAAATAAAAATTTAAAATTAAATTTAGAAAAAAAGTTTTTTTGCCTTTCTTTCACGTCCCAATCCCAATGTTTGTCTCAAAACAGGGACATTAGTAAAACTATTTATTCCAATAGCAACATGTGTATCATCTACACTTATTGGAAGTTTTTCAATTAATGAAAGGGCTAATTCCCGTTGATGTTCAAATACACTTTCTCTTGAAGAAGAAGCATCCAAAATTATTATCTAAATTGGTTTAAATCTTGAATGATTAAAATTCTGATTTCTTTGGGATATTTAAAATTTTGATTACTTCGGAAAATTCTGAAATTTTTTTAAAATTGTTTTTCAGAAATTCTGACTTTTCTAAAATATTTATTAAAAACGATTCAGTAATTAAAACGAATATATTTTTACCAACCAAATCCATTTTTGAGAAGCTACAATTTGCTAAAATATTTTTCTCATTATTATTTTCACTTGTTTGCACAGATTTTACTTCTTCATCCCTTTCAAATCTATCATCATTTTCTTCTTCATTTAATTCTAGAATTTTTGTTTTCTGAACAATTCCAGCAAGTGCTTTAGCTGGCTTTATTAAATTATTGTCTGTATTGATCTTAAAATTAATTTAGATAAATTAAAAATATTTTAATTTAAAAAATCTATGGATGGAAATAAACTTTGAAATTGTTTTTTTTTAATAATTTAATTTAGGAGCAAAACCAATTCAAAAACCTACTTCAGTTAGAGATTCCTCTTCACGTCCATGACAACCAACAACTGATTGCCCAACTTCTTTTAAAAAAAGTTCATCACTTCCACGATCTGTATAAATTCTTTTTGGGTTCTTTATATATTCTAGTAATTCATTTTGTGCAAAATTATCAGAAAAACTAATTGCATAAAGCTTTAAATTAATTTTAAAAATTAATTTAAATTTTTTTTAAAATTATTTTAAACTTCATTAGTTGTATTTCTAAGCTTTTGTGAGGCTATTTGAACCTTTGACCATTCATCTTGACTATGTCCATCAGTTATTAATATAATGATAAGTCGAGCATTTGAACGATGCCCTCTAGATATTTCTTCTAATGCCTACAATTTTTTGAAGTAAAATTTAAAAAAAATTTCCCAAACAGTTTCTGAAGCAGCCACTAAAGAAGTAGGCCCTCCTGTATGTTCAATACTTTCAATTTCTTTAAGAATATCATTTTGTTTTCTTCCAATAACAAAAGGAAATTGTAAAATTGCTTTTTTATTGAAAATAATTAATGAAATTGATAAACGGTTCTTTTAAAATAAAAAAAATAAAAATACAAAAAATAAATAAAATTTACATTAAAATCTTGTTCAGGTAAAATACTAATTAAATCAAGAGCAAACTTTTTTTGAGCAACAAAATCTTTCTGAAAAATTAATAGAGAAAATAAAATTAATGTGTGAAGAATTAACTATACATTAATATATCCTTTTTTCGAGTAAGGACAAGACAGTGTCATTATTATTAAAAACAGACTACTACATAAGAACACAAAATTTTGTGGACTAATAAATCGGCTCCTATACAACTCATCCAATCCTTAACTCATCTACGCTTTTTGACCGAGTAGATGAAAGGATTGGATGAGTTAAGGGGACACGAATAAATCAGAGAACCTTTAAAAATGTTTTAAGGGTGGCTAAACAACATGGCTAACAACTCTAATATAATCTGAGATTACCATAATTAAAATACCTCCACACTAGTAGAAGTATCTAAAATAAAAAGAATATCAACATTTTGAATATTACAATCATTAACAGAAGTACTAGCTGTTGTTGTTCTACTAATTAATTGACTAGTAATTGTTGAAGTTTCAGAATTTTTAAACAAAGTTGGGAAAAATGTTGAAGAAGAGATAGTTGTTGTTGGTGAGATAATTAAAGAGGGAGAGATTGTAGAAGAAAAAGAAATGGGAAAGTTTTGTTTTTGTTCTGATTGTTGTATTGTGTTTGGATTAATTAATCTTTTGAAAGGAAAATCAGAAATTGCTTCTAATTTTGTTAAATTCTGATTTTTATTATTATTAATTGTTTCTGATAATTTAAGAGAAGTTTTAATGTTTTTGTCACAAATCAGAATTTTTTCGATATCTTCAAAAAATTGTTTTGTTCGATCATTTATATAAACTTTCATTTCATTTCCAGCTAACAATTCTAATTCACTTTAAAATTAAATATTTTAAATAAAATATTTTTTTTTCTTTAATTTACCGAAAGAAATGGTCATGGCTAACAGTTACTGCAAATACCTCAATTCCAGAAACTTGTAATCTACCAGCTGTTGCAACTACATCTCCCCAAGGATCTTGGCTATTCCCATCTTGGAAATAAAAAATTTAAATTAAAAAATAAAAGTTATAATATTAGGCTGGGTTTCTTTTGGCTCTGTTAGTAAAATCGTCTTTAGCGTTTATTATCTTTCAAGCTTATAACAGCTCTGATTTAAAAATTTTCAAATCTCGGGTCCTGTTTCTGAGTTTTTCTGTTGTAACCTGACCAGAATCTGAGTTTCAGAGTTAACTCCCGGAAAATTTAGTTCTGTCAACAGTAACAGATTCAATGATATCGGTCTACACCAGGTCAGAGAGCTGACGTGGCTCAAAAAATTAATATTTAAAGTTTGATATTTTCGGTTAAAGTAATAAGGATTTTTCAAGGAGAATGCTGATCTATATTCTTTAGATAAATTCTGATTTAAAAGTACCAGAAACTAAAACAATAATTTGTCTAGCATCAGAACGTCTCTTTTTCTCAATTTGTTCCAAAGCTAAATTAATTCCACTAACTGCAGAAGTACTTCCTCCAGTGTGTTGAATGTTTGAAATTGCTTCAAAAATTTTATTTTTTTCTTTAATTTCTCCAATAGAAAAATGCAATAAAGAATTTCGATGGAAAGAAACTGCCCCAATTTGAATATTTCCATTTTCAAAATTTTTGTTTGGAAGGCGAGAAATTAATTCTAAAACTAAATCTAATTGTTCTCTAAATTCTTCTTCAACACTTTGTGAAGTGTCTATTACAAAAATTAAATCAGATTTGCAATCAAAATTGTTGTTGAGTGGTTGAGGGGAATCACGTTGAATTTGGCTAATCTAATATATAGTTTAAATTAAATATATGAGTAAATTCTGATTTTTTAAAATAAATTCTGATTTGAATTTTGTTTAAAGAAATTATGTATAGAGGGTAAATTCTGATTTTATTTCAGTTTTATTTAAAGCAAATTAATTCTGGTTTTTTTCAAGCTTATTTATATTTTATGTCTGTTTAAAATAAATTCTGATTCTCCTTTCTAGGAAAAGTTTTCTTAAAAAAATATTACAAATCAGAATCACCTTTCCATCATTATTCTCATTTCTAAACCGAAGATCTCTCTGTCTTTTAATTCCCCCAAAATTATTTTTATTAATTAAAACAGAATCTGCCCTCCTAATTTTCATTTCATCTCGGCATCGAATAATTCTTCTTTGGAATTCATCAACAAATTTAGCCATTTGTCCCTGTCCTCTAGCATTAAATAATCGAAGAAAGGAAGGTTTAGAAGAGAATGTATTGCTAATAGAAATTTGATTTTGAATATTTTCATTAAATTTTAAATTTCCAAAATTTAATCCAAAAATTGCAGTTGTTTGGCTTTCCAATGCTTTTTGTAATTTTTTATTATTTCCATTCTTTTCAGAAGAATATCCATCAGTTAGTAAAACAATAGCAGATCTTGCCTCATCTCCTCGGCCAAATTTAAATGTTTCTGTGAGAGCATACCCCAAAGCTTCTGTTAAGCTTTTGTTAGTAAACTTGTTTTCCAAAATCTGCTTCAAGTAAAATTCTGATTTTTTTAATTTATAAAATTCTGATTCAAGTTTGTTTAACGAAATTTTGATCTCAAGTTCTTTTAATAAAAATTCTGATTTTAGGGGTTGTTTTTAGAATATTCTGATTTTAGGTTTATTGTATCAAAGCTTGCTTCAAGTTTTGAAATTAAACTTTAAAAATTTCCACCTCATCATTTGTTGGCCAGTCAATGCGGTCAATAGCAAAAAGAGCATCATCCAGAGTTAAAGGTTCCTGTTTTTGTAAAGGATTTCCCGACCAAATAGTAACGCGAATTCTCTGTTGGAATTGTTCGGGGGGAGCTTGTCTAATGGTATCTTTAGCTGCCCTCTTAAAATCATCAAATTGTTCAGCAGAAGTTTGATTAGTATCAGCGTTTAATAAAATTATTAAGTCAATTGGGTCTTTAAAATTAATTTTTTTTTTTAAATTCCTCTTTCAAATTTATTTATTCCAACCATTTTCACAATGCAAAGGAGATTCTTTTTGTAATGCTTTAGCAGCTAATTGTAAATGTTCAACACGCTCTACACTATTTATTGGTTCATGGGAGTCAAGTAAATCAGCTTTACTTTCATGTCTTCCGCTTGGAGGTAGAACACATTCGAGCAGAATTTTAGAAACTTTTTTAATTAATTAATTTAAAAATTCTGATTTTTAAAATAAATAATTCTGATTTAAAGTTTTAATTAAAATATTATTTTGCTTCAAGTTTTTATAAAATTCTGATTTAAAATTATTTCTATCCCTACCCTGTTCAACAAATTGTTTTGCCCTTGCATCAATAAAAACATGCCATTGATCACCCACTAAAGTTTTAAGTCTCGTTAGTTGAGCACTTGGAGTAACAGCAACAGCAAACAATTCTGATTTTGACAAATTATTGAAAGGTTTAAATGATTTAGACAATTCCTCAGCAGTATTTCTCCCATTAGACCCACTCCACAAAATAAACATTAAAAGTCTGGCAGATTGACGACGTTGAATATTTATTTCCTTTTTAGATTTCATTATTAAAAATAATTAGATAATTAGAAAACCTGTAAAGTAAGGTTAACTGCTGAAGCAAAAGAAGATTGTACTTTAGTTGGTAAAATACTTCTCAATCTTCTCTGAAATTCTAATTTTCCAAGATGTTCTGGAAAAGGAATAAAAATATTTTCAATAAAGTTAGATCCCCTCGATTGATTGGAGAAGCTATAGTATATTTTAGGGTTCGATATTACGGGGCAGGGCTGGGCTTACGGAGAACGGGGGTTTCGGGGAATTCGGGCTTGGGGAACGGGGACGGAGGTTCCCCCGCGACCTTCTCTCCGGTAATTCGATCGAACCCTAGTATAATTAAGAAACAACTCATCATAAGATTCCCTTAATCCCAATGGATATTTTCAAACCTTATATCCATTTTTTACTCAAATTTTATACAAAAATAACCCTTACCCGACCATCTAGCTTCTAGTCTAGGTTCACGTCCAAATGAAAGGGCTGCCAATCTAATTCTTCCCAAATCAACATCTGTTGAAGGTAAACGCCCAACTAATTGAACAGCTAAAGCTAATTGCTTTTCAAAAGGTGAAGAAATTCCATTAGCAGCATTAAAACTGTCAATAACAAAAAGTAAATCAGTTGGGCAATCATCGAGTAAAGAAGGGGTTGAAGTTGATATTTGTAGTGGATTTTTCTGAAATATATTTCAAATATTTTTGTCCACATTTTTAATTCCTAAATTAATTTTAATTTTAAAAACACTTAACATTATTAGCCATTTTTTGCTTCTCCTCATTATCCTTTAAATTATCTTCATTTTCATTCTCTAATGGTTCATCCTTTTGACGTCTTTCCAAATTATTTCCCAAAGAAAAATTTTTCAAATAATTAAAATTACTAGTATGTTCTTCAACATTTTTACTTAAATTTGTATAAATTCCATTAAATTTATTTTTACTTCCATTTGTTAAAATATCCTTTTCTTCTTCTTTATTTTCATTCTCTTTTCCAATTTTTAAATTCAAACAATTATTTAAAATAGAGGAAAATGTTGATACAAATCTTTTTTTAAATTAATTAATTAAATTAATTTAATTTTACTCTTTATGACTTTTGCCAACAAAAATTCTTTTATTATTTCCAATATAAAGTAATAATTCAGGAAAATTAAAATCTTGACTGGCTGAAACAGCAAAAGAAAGTAATGAGGGGGTTTGTTGAAGTCTTCGGCCAACAGCTTGTGCCCTGGACCAAAATTCTTGTCCATGACCATCACTAATGAGTATTAGAATCTACAAAAATTTATGTTGATTAAATTTAATTTTGAACGTTAATTAAAGAAAATAATAATTAGAGTGTATATCAGTGGTTAATGGGGATCAGGAAAGGAAGTTGTGGATAAGTATGAGCTTTAGAAAATCAAAACCAATTTTGGTCAGAAAATTGGAAAAGATTAAAAAATACTTTTTTTTGAACATTTTTTACCTTTTTAGAATCCCTCCTTCCCCCCATCTCAAATTCACTTAAAGCCAACTCCACAGCATCTGCAATTCTTGTATTACTTCCAGTAAATTTTATATCGTTCAGTCTTTCAATAATTTCTTTATTATCTACTACAACACTTTCTTTTAACGTCAAAACCAATTTTGGTTCAGAAGCAAAACTAATTAATCCAATTCTTAATCTTTCACCAATTTCCTCATTATTTATTTCTTTTAAAATATTTTGTGCTAATTGATGTTGTAAATTAAATGAGGGAAAAACTGATCCACTTGTATCAAGCAAAATAAGCAAATCAACCTTTAAAGAGAAAATAATCTTTTTATTAGAGAATTTTTAAAAATTTTAATTTTTAAAATAATTTTTACAAATATTCTACATATTTTAAATCTTTGTTTAAAATAAAATTAATTCGGTAGGGTTTCTCTTCTCATTTCTTCAGACTTCTCAAGCTAAATCCTAACTAAATTTAAAAAATAATAGATAGTATCTCTTAAAAATAATCTAGAATTTTATTCTGAATGATTAGATTCTTTGAGGAGAGACTTAAGTTAATTGAACATCATTTTTAAATAAAATCTGACGAAATTAGGTATATGTCATAAGGGGGGGTATCCATTATATAGGTGTTACTTCTCTCCTTACCTAATAGCCAATTAAATTTAAACTAGATTTTTGTGGGATACATATCTAAAATTTAAAGTCTGACTATATTTTCATTTTTGATCTAATAATTTTCAAATAAAATTCCCCAATAAAATAAAAAAAATAAATTATTCAATACAAGACAAAAATATTTTTTTATTTTAATGCTTTGAATTTTAAAATATTAAAAGTTTTAATATTTATTTTATTTCTTTTTAAAAATTAAAAAATGTATTTTTATTTAAATAAAATAATTTTATTATTTTTATTTCCAATTTTTCTTTCTTGTATTCCAAAATATCAAGAAGAATTTGGTGATGATATATTAAAAGCTTTAAATAAAGAAACAATTGAAAATGGAGAAATTGAAGTTAAAACGGGGGAAGACAAAATTGGGGATAATAAAATTAGAAAATGGAGAAAATATGTAATTAAAAGAAAATCAAATGGAGGAAAGAATGAAGAAGAAAAGGTTAGAAAAATAGAAAATTGTTTAAAAGAAGGGATTAGATTGGTGCAGTCTCGGTTAAAAATTGAACAGTTCTACGATTCCCGGATCCTGACAGTTCCGGGAATAGGGACATCATTGAATCTTCCATTAAGAGTAAAATGATTTTAATAGAAAATTAATAACCCTTAAGGAGATTTATTAAATTTGAGATAAACGAAGGAGAACGTTCATTGCTTGATGCACCTCCAATAAATGAAAAATCAAAGATAAATTTGGATGATAACAAGATAAATAAAATAAAAAATGTATTGGATTGGAATAAACAAAGAGCGCCAATTATTTGTGGGGATGAAGAATGGCATTATTTTGATGGGTAAATTTTTAGAAAATAAATAAAAATTATCTTTAGTTTTTGTTACAAACTCATAAACGGCAAATTCACATGGGAAGAAGCATTGGGAGAATGTAAAAAACAGGTAGAGAAAAATATTTGCCCCGTTCACATCTCCGGAAGTTAGGAAAAAATTTTTTTTCAAAAAAAATTTCTTTGGAAATTTTCGGACTTCTTGGCCTTTCAAAACTTAAAAAATTCGCCTTCGGCCTTAAAACTTTTTTTATGTTCTAAATTTATTTATTCCCCAAAATTTCCCGTTTTAATTTTACAGAATTCAAATTTGGTGAGTATTCAAAGCGAACAAGAAAATGATTTTGTAGTAAGTTTATTTAATTTATAATTAATTAAATATATTTATTAATTAAGGGATCTCTTAGTACAAAGGTTTTTAGATAATTAAATAATTAAAATAAAATATTTGTTAGTTTGATCAAAATTTTGATAATTTCTGTCACGGTTTTTGGATTGGAATGACAAGAAAATATATTGAAGAAACGGTTAATTAAATAATTAATTTTTTTTGAAAAAAATAAATTTAAAAGGATTCATTTAAAAGTGAATGGTCTGATGGAACTAAAGTTAATTACGGAAACGTTCCTATAAGAGTAGCTTTTCATACCCCTCCTTGGATGGGTGGACAACCAGATTTTGCTGGAGGTGTTGAGGAATGTGTACATTCTTACCCAAAATTAGGCTGTGATAATTGGCAACAAATATTTTTTAATCAATGGAATGGTAAAAAAATTTTAGGGGAAAAAAGTTTTTAAATTTAATTTTGTACATACATAGATGCGCGTTGTTCAATTAAATTAAGCGGGGCAGTTTGTAAGAAAAGACAATCAATTCAAAAAATTTGAAATAAAAGAAATGAAAGAGAGAAAGATTGAAGAATTAAATAAATTTTGAAGAATTTCAGAAACAAATATTAAAAAAATATTTTTGTACTTTTAATAATTTTGAAAAAAATAATGGACTCTCGTTAGGAAAAGCCGATACATTAAAGTTTAACTATGTCTGTGTCCCATATAAAAATATTCAAAAAACACTTTTTTCATCCCTTTTAAAATGTATGAAGGACGAAGTCTCAATATTCATCCAAATCTTCCCCTCAATCGTCAAATCCCTCTATATCCTCCTAATATATAAAAACACCCCCACCTCACTTCCATTCTTGCATTCAAAATCAGAATGACTATTTCCAACAGTATTATCAATTTTCTGATTTAAATTTACATTAAAGTTTAATTCTTTTAACAAAACTTCTCCAAATTTATTTTCTGTTTTTGTAGAATTTATTAAATTAAAACAAAAACCAATTTCCTTAAAATATTTTAATTAAATTAATTACCCAATTAATAACTTGCCTTATCTAAAGTCGAAATAAATAAATTTTCACTTTTTTGGCCACTCAATATACGTCCCTTTTCTTCATTTGTGTAACTTAAAAGTGTTTTTTCGTTGAATGATTCACCAGCTATTGCAAATACAGAAACGTTTTTAGACGACAATTTTGTTCTATTAAAAAGTAATTTTTTTTTTGAATTTAGATTAGCAATAATTATGAATTTAATTGTTATATTGAATTTAATTGTTATATTTATATGTAGATATAGGACTCACAAAAAATTTCTTTACAAATTTTAAACAAGAAATAACATGTCTCCAAAAAACATTGACTCCAAATAAAATTATACATACTTCCTAACCTTCCCCATTTTCACGTCCAAAATAAATAACTTAAGACAAATAAAGCAGATACATTACTATGTAGTTAAATACCAGGGCTGGGCTCGTTTCGCATTTCGTCTTTTTATTTTTAGAGTTAGCCCAGCCGTGTTAAATATTCATATTCTGTTAAATACCGAAAATTTTATGAAAATTTCTCCAAATATAGTCTTTTACCCTTATATCCTCTTTAATATTCAAAACATACATTGCTTCAATACTTTCATTAACCATATCAGTATTTTCCCCATTATGTACCAAAAGAATAATATTTTTTGAATTATTCGAATTTTCCGAAAATAATTGTGTGCCTTTAATTAAGGCTTTGGCTGGCGATGTTTCTAAATGACGGCGAGGTCTGAGGGAATGAATTTGTTCAATAACCTGTTTAAAATTAATTTTTAAAAATTTTCTAAGAATTCTTTATCTTTACTTTGTCAACATTAGAAGATTCCAAAGAATTAATTGGATTTAATACAACAGGGGAACGATGGAAAGCAATTAATCCATAAAAGTTGGAAGAACTTTCTTTGGTAATTAAATTTATATGTCTAAAAAATTAAGTGATATTTAAAAAATCAGAAAAACCACCTCAAAACTTTTTCAATCCTTCTTTGTTGATTTTTAAAATAATTAAAGTCCTCTTGTGAAATATCGAATAAAACAAGAATTTGTAAAGAATATTTTTCATTTTGGCAGACTAATGATTAAAAAAAATAAAACAAAAAAATTTTTGCATTTTTCCTTTGTTTTTTCTTTTTTTCAAATCTACTTCTTTTCAATTTTAAAAACCTAAAATTACGATAATCCCCAAGTTTTAGCCACAAAATAAATTTATTAAAAATTAATTTACAAAATCACCATTGGAATTTTTTGTATTTATTTCATTATTAGATGTTGCTTCTGATTGGGGTAAATAAATTGAAGCAAAGAGGAAAATAATTGGAAACAAAAAATTAAAAATAGTAATTATTTTTAGAGGAAAAAAAGATAAATTTAGGCTTTTAGCCATTTAAAAGCTAAAATTACTGTTTTATTTATTCCTTTGAAATTATTAAATAATTTCAGTATCAATAATAATTAGAGATCGGACAAACGGAAAAATCAAATATTTGACCAAATATTAGTTTGGTCCGATCTCTAATAATGACCAATACCATATACCCTTTAATAACTACCCTGGGTAAGACCTTCCGCTGGAGTGAGTAAATAAATGAGGGAGGGTAATTATACGAGGTTTGAAATTTTAATGTATTCTAGGGCATTTGTTGAGGGTAATTATTGTTTCAATCCTTCGATGGACGGGGTAACGAATGGAAGCGGGGTAAACTATTTAAATTTAAAAAATTAGGTCCAAAACAATTCACTCAAATTATAGCCTAATATGTAGTGTCTTTCTCTAAAAGATTAATTTAAAAAATAATCTCTTATTTAATTTTCTGTAAAAAATATTTATTTAATTTAAAATTAAAGATGTTGGGGAATGCGCAGATTAAAGAATGAAAGTTTGTGTTGTGTACATTTATTATACTAATTTCCCGTCAATCACGCTTCATTGCATTTTCGCCGTTCCCCCTTTAAAAAAGGCAATTTGTTTATTTTCTTTTTTTTTATTTATCTAGTTATTAAAGGCTTATTATTATAAATAAATAAATAAATATTATTTTTTCTCGTTTTGATAAGCTATAATTAATTAATTTATGACAAACTTTTTATTTTTATTTATTTCGGTCGGTGTGATCATTTTAAAGGATTGATTTTTGGAGATTTAAATATAAAAAGAAATCAATTTTTTGTGAATTTAGAGGAAATTAATTAATTTATTTGTTAGAAATTATTGGATAAATAAATATTTATTGGTATTATTTTAAAATTTTAATAGTAACTCTCCCCACCCTATGGAATTTAAATTTTCGTCTGCTTATTTTCCGTCTATAAAGCTTTTAGTTCAATCGGATTAAGATATCGGTGTTAATTTAAAATATTAATAAAATTAATTAAAATCATTGTAATATAAACTGCAACTATATATCTACTAAATAAAAATACTTTTTAACTACATAAAATAATGATAAATTTATTTTTTTACTTTTATGGTACTTTATTAGTAAGGTAATGCATATAATCAATCAAAATAACCAAAAAGTCGAGAAAGGAAAGTGGAATTGTTTTCACACAGAAAGCCGCTTATCAAATCCTGATTTTCTTTTAAATAAGGATTGGGCGATGGATTGATGAAAAATTGCTTGGACTTTTTGATATTAATTTAGAGAATTAGGGAATAATTGTTTAAAAAATAAATATAAAATAAATATAAAAATAATATTTATAAAGAAAATTAACTTGCTACTTTGACAAAAAAAATTATAAATAAAAATAAATTTAATAAAAATTAAATTCCGGTGCGGGGAATCGAACCCCGGCCGCCTGGGTGAGAACCAGAAATCCTAACCACTAGACCACACCGGACATTGAAATGTTTTCTTTAAAAATCAACTAAAAAGAAATAATATTAGCTTTTTATAATTCCACCTTCCATTTGAACTTCTAATTTTGGCATTCTGATTTTTATTTTTTTTATTAAATTTTTTTAATTTTATTTTCTTTAATTTTATTTTTTTTATTTTTTTTTATTTAATAAATTCAGGTTTATTTTAATTTATTGATTTAAAAATGTCTTCATTTCCTTCTTTCTCTCAAAAAAATCTTTCTGGCAATCGATTCCAAATTCGAGGATTTCCAAAAATTTGGACTGAAAAACTTACTTTTGACGATATTGCGGTTCTCTTTTAAATTTTTAAAATTTCTAAAATTTTATTTAAAGTGGTATTTATATGATTTATTGGTTAAATATGGAGCTATTGAGAATATTGTGATTAGTTGCTCTAAGAGGGATATGATTGTTTATGGGTTTGATTTTGGTAATTAAATTTAAAAAGATTTTTTTTAGAATTGTTGATATGAAAAGTGGAAAGGGTATTGCTCGTATTAAGAATGAAATGCTGGATAAATATGGAAAGTTTTATTTACAAAATTGGGATGCTGCTTTATCTGTATATTTTTAATCTTAATTGAGTAAGGGAGAGGGGGTAGGGGAAGGAAATAGAGGGGAGGGGGAAGGAAATTTAATATTAAAAATTCTTTTTTGGATAATATTTTTTATCTTCTATTTTTTAAACCTAATATTTTTTAATTCTTTTGATTTTTCCATGACTCAAGGTTTTTTGATAGGGATGATTTAAGGGATTTCAATATTCTTTTTATAAACTAAATTCTAAAAGTCCTGTTCATTTAGTAAATTTTTAATTTAAATCTGAATCAATAAAAATCAAAATAATTTCATTTCAAGTCCTGACATGATCATCTGGTTTACTTACAAGCCGGCTTGATATCTCTTTTTTTTATTTTTAAAAATCTTACAAAAAATTATTTGGGTTCCTTTTTAATGAAAAAAATTAAAAGATTTTTTTTAATTTTTAGTTTCGACAAGTCGATGCAGACACAACCAAAAAGCTTGAGGATTTAACCAAAAAAATTTCTTTGAAAGATTTAGTTAAACAATTAACTCCACCACAAAGTACAGAAAGTTTTCATTCAGTTAATACTGCAGACAAAGCAACTGCTGATTCTTCTGATTTTGTTTATAGCCGGGAATTTCTTTTGAGTTTGCGTGGAACGGTTTCTTTTATTTAGAAAAATAATTTTTTAATTAATTTTGATTTTCTAGATTTCTCCGTCTCGTTACCAAACTGACCCGCAATTTTCTGAAATTCTTCGTTCTGTTGAAAATATTGATTATGGCTATCCAACTACTCGAAATAATAATTATAGAAACAATAATCGCAATTTTCGTCAAAATGAGACTCGTGGAGGTTATAATTACAACAATGGAAATGTATAGTTTTATTCATTATTTTAAGGGAAAATAGAGAGAACTTTTAGCGAAAAGTAATTCCTCCTTCCAGTCCTTTTTTTAATAAAAATTTATTTTATATTTTTGGCTGATTTTGCTTTATTTAATTAATCTAAAACAGGGGGCTAGGATCTCGAATTTTTGAAAATCCGCAATTTTTAGCCGAAAAATCCGTATTTTATATTAAAAACCCGCAAACACTTGCGCTGCAGACGCAAAAGTGAAAGGTTTTTATAGGAAGGAATTTAGGAAGGCCTAGAAAAGAAAAAATGACATTTTTTTAAAAAAACTGCAAGAAAATACTAAAATCCTTATAATCTTCAAAAGGTCACGAAAATCCAGAAAATGGGGAAAAATAATTTTGCACATATCCGAGCCCTAAAAATAATTTTAATTTTTGTAAATTTTTATTTAAAAATAATTTAAATTTTGTAAAAGAATGGATTCCCCCATAGAAGGAATTTAAAATATTTTTTCGAGTCTTTAAAAGTTACCTAATTATTTTTATATTTTTTAGAAGACCAACAACAACAATAACAATTATTTCAATCGAAAATGATCTGAATTTTTTTTTTGAATTTTAAAAATATTTTTGGCAAAGAAAATCTCTCTTCAACAATTCTTTTGATGACAAATTTAAAAGAAAATACAAATATCTTTCAAAAAAGTAAAAAAAAGTCTTTAATTTATTTTAAATTTATTTCAAGAAAAAAAAGAATTTTTTAATAAAAATTAAAAAAAATTTTTTTACAATTTTTTCTAGCAAAGTCCATATTTAATAATCATTTTATTAGCAAATTCTATATATTGTTTTTGGGCCTCTTCTATTGACAGACCTTTAAAAAATAAATAATTTTTGAAAAATCAACAAAAATTCCCTTTTCCTCCCACATTAAATCAGAAAAAAAATTATTTTTTAATTTTGGGAAAGTAAAGAGAAAAATATATTTAAAATTTCAAAAATATTTTGCATATGAGTCAGTCAAAAATTTAATTTCACTCTCCAAAAAAATTTTTTTGGGAATGTTTTTAATTAATTAAATCGTAGTCAAAAAAATAATTTAAAAAATTTTAATTTATTTTAAGTTCAAAAAAACCTCTTTTTCCATTCCAGGCTTCCCATTTTTTCTTTCCCCTAATATCAAAAGTTCCAGGTTTACAATTATTATTATCTCCACAACTTCCTTGTTTATAAAGAGCATAAAGTTGCATTAATTCTTCGTTGTTTGGAGAAGTTTTGAGATTTTTAATCTTTTTTTTTTTAATTTAAATTAAATTTATTTTTTGGGGAGTTTTTCCTACCTTTGCAGCTATTTCTTCAAATTCCTTAAATTTTCTTTTAATTTATAAACGTTTTGGTTTATTGGAGATTTTATATTATCCCGCCCTAAGAATCGCTTGTGATGGAATTGTATGGATGCCCCCTTTTCGGCCCCAAGACAACCAACCCTTACAATCTGATATGAACACCAGGGTGTCCCTTTTACCTCTTTTTAGGGGAATTTTTCCCCTTTTTGACCCTCTCGCCCCTTTTTCTGCACTGCCACTTTTTTGAGGTGCTTTGGTGATTTGGAAAGGGACACTCTGATGAACACGGATCTGCCCAATCTTGTAATTAACCCGAGAACCTAGCCCTTACTGTTTTGACAGCATTCCTCCATATATTTTTTGAATTCTGTATCCCGTTCTATTAGACTTTTAGCAGTAGCACGATTACATGTTTATGAATGGAGTTTATTTATTCCATTAATTTATTTACCCTCTCCTCTCAAATTTTTAATTAACTAGTTAATTAATATTTTTATTAAACTAACTTGACTACAACTTGCCATTAATAATTTAAATATTTAAAAACTTGATAGGGTAAAAAAAAATAAAAAATATTTATTTTTAAAAATTAAAAAAAAAAATTTTGATTTAAAAAGACAAACAAATGTGTCAATATTTGCGATCTAAATATATTTTCTAATCAATAAATAGAACACAATGTTTGTTCTTCTATTTATTTGGCCAAATAATATTAGTTATGTTCAAATAATTTTTGATTAAAGAAAAACAAATTTTTTGATAACCGTAGGTTCGGAAATATATTTTTGTTT